CTGATTAGCAGTGGTGCCAATGTGAGAGCGCGTATGGAGAGGCAGGAAGAGTGGCGCTGCCAACTGAATGTGCTGATCGTTTAGAAACATTAGGAAGAACTGTGGAGTCACCCAACTGAGAACTAGGCCACAACAGTTCCAGCCCTACTTCTCTGTACCTGGAAAAAAGCAGCTGTCTTACCTCCTATGAAAAAAGGTCCGCTTTGGGTATTAACGGGGAATTTAGCCTTGCAACTTAAAAGGCCCATCAGCCTCTCAGGCTGCTCTGCACAAAACAGAAGCTCTTGTATGAATTTAAGGACGCACTCTCCTCACTGGGCCATCATTTGGCCAGATTCAATGAACACACCAGGAAGACTCAGAAAGCGAGCAAAGCCAAAGTAAAATCTCTTCGACACTGGTATTTGATTGTCAAGCACACGATTTCAGATTGTCTAAGACATTCTAAACAAGTCTTAGTCACATATGTGCAACATCGAGGAATGACTTCAGACCAGTTTCTCAGGATTTTTATGTTCGCTGGCAGAGGAAAACAAATCCTCCAGTGAAAATAGGAGAAAACAGCAGGAATGCAGGCAGACGTGATGGTCAGCCCTCTTCTACACCAGGCATCTCTTTCTGGGCTCTAGCCAATTCACTGCTAGGCACCCTCGGACTGAGCTACCAGGCTAGTATTACTGACCTGCAGGGTGAAAACCATTTACTCTGACAATGGACTGAGTCACCCTGTTATGTTAAATCAAGACTCTTCAACACAGGGCAAGTTTAATGCTGACAGGATCATTATTACATGTTCTTATCTCAAGGAGGTGAGTCTCAACCTTCCTAATGCCGCAGTGCTTTAATATAGTATCTGTCGGTCGCAACCCACAGGTCAAGAACCACCATCTTAAGGCAAGGTACTGTAAAAGCTTCCTTTCTGAATTGACTTTTTTTTCTCCTTGAGTAACAATTTAAAATTAAGTAGTGTGGGAATTTTCAAATTGCTATGAACTGGGAAACATTTATACATTGATTTTGTTTATCAAGAATTACCAGTGAGATGGAAGAAACCTATACAAGTGACTTCGTGTTAGACTTTATCAAAGTCTAGGAGTTTTTTCTTTTTTCTTTTTGATCATTATTAGTGAGCCACCCGTCAGATATTATTTCATATTTAAAGATAGCTATGCCAAAATTCAGTCATTAATGCTCTAGTAAAATACTCTAGTAAAAGAGTCAAGAAGAGGTGCCATAATTGTACGGAGATAGAGATGCAAAAGTTGGCAAACCAAGGCCCTTCATTTTGGTATAATATAAGAGATACTCTCATCCGTGAGGCTATTTTCCAATCTTGAAGCAATCATCTATATTCATAGTTTAGGGGAAACTTACAGCTTTCAGGATGTGTTATGTCTGTTTTTATAGCTATAAAATGGTAAACAGGATAACTTTCTAAAATACTAAGTAAAACAACTATTTTCTCAAATGTAAAACTGCAGACACTGAAAAACTAGCTGGTGTTTACAAAAAGCTGAGACCGATGCTAAGCTCTAACAATGTTATTTGCCTTTCCCCTTCAACCAAAGCCGCTTAGAATTCGTTCTATTGGTTAACATGACATTCACGAGAGTAACTGCTCAGGTCCTTAGTACTTCCTCCAATTGAGAAAGGGTAGAAATAGAGAGAAAATAAGTAATTACAACTTTAATGGTTTGCTTCTGAAAGATGAGTGACTTTTTTCTATTAGGCAATCCTATGACCTTATGTTTTAAAAATAAAAGCCAGGAGAGAGGAAGAGATTTTTCTCTTCCAAGCCTCCCCTCCACCCCCCACTTTTTTAAAGAAAGAGTATCACTCTGTCACCCAGACTGAATACAGTGGTATGATCATAGCTCACTGTAGCCTCTAACTCCTCAGTTCAAATGGTCCTCTTTCCTCCCCAAATACTGGGCTTATAGACATGAGCCCCTGCACCCAGCCAAGCAAGCTTTAAATTCTATATAGGTCTTGGTAAAAGAGAAATTTCTACTCCTTTGATCCATCATATTGGAATTTTTGTTAAAGCATTTCGGTATCTAGGATCCCCTGATTTTAGCAGTTCCACAATCATCCATGTACGGCATTGTAAACACAACCTACGCATTACAAAAGTTTTTAGAATTGTCTTGGATTCACAATTTGCATTTCAGGCAAGGAGGGTCTTTAGTTTGTCTTTTTATTTATTTTTTTAAATTTCAGAATATTAGGGGGTATGCTGGTTTTGTCTATATATTTTGTTTTTATGCAGATTGAGTCAGAGATTATATTTAATCATCTTATTTTTTTTCTTAGAACTATTATAGAAAACCATCTCTGCTTGTGGTTTAACAATGTATTTTTGCCCAGACCACTGCAGATTTATCTTAATGTCTTTGATTCCCCAACACTTTACTTATTATACAAATCTAGCTATTTAAAAAATTCTAAGAAACATCTTAATTGGGGGTTTTGACCAATGAAAATGAACAGCTAAAGTGATCGCATAAAGTAATTCATTAGTTTCAAGTGGCTTTATGAGGAAAACAAGCAATTTCTGTGTGCATTTCTGAAACAGGAAATCTTTAGAAGTGCTCACATTTAGAGCAACTCTTTTGCTTAAAAATCTAAACAAGTCACAAAACACTGTAAATTCTATCAAAATTTCATAAACACAAGAACAATTCCAATAAAAGAGAACACGAAGAAACTCAGTACTTGAGAGAGAATGCACAGGATGATTCACAGATGACCCTGTGCTCTCCCTGGGGTGTTTCAAATTGTATTTCTTTTTCACAATTTATTAAAGGCCAGACCTGGGGAGGGTGAGAGAGACAGAGAAATGACTCAGAGGAAATCTGATTATGTGCACTTTATCTAAACATGCTCTGCAAAAGTCAAAGGGAGACCAGGCAAATGACCACCTGAAACAGAAACGAGTCATCTCTGGGCATAGGACGACCTGGCCCCTAAGAAAACAAAAGCAAACAAAATTTCTTTAACTAAACAGAGACGCAGTTTGTCCTAGAGAAACTGATGTTTTATATGTACTATGAAAAACAGTTGCCTTCTTTTAGGAATCTACAGGTATGTTGTCAGCCAGTCTCTACACTAGCATCCAAGTAATTTCCACACATATGCTATTGATCCTTAAAGAGTTCCCAGGAGCTATAATCAACTCCAAGATGCTAACCTCAAGAAGACTGCCCGGTATCCTGACTCACTGGGGATGTGGTTGGCCTAGAGGTAGAGATAATCCAAGTCTACACGGCATTTCAAATAGTTTACTCAGGGATTACTAAATTTCCCTCTATGCAAGGAAGGCATTTTTGATCAGGTCAGTTAAGAAATATGTTCCTTGTGGGGGAGAAGAATGGAGTTCCTTGGTCTCAGAATTGAAGGGACTAATTTATCATAAGCTTAGAGGGCAGGAACAAAGTCATAGTAAATTCTATTACACGTAACATTTTTCTGCCATCTAGATGAAAAGGTACTCATTACTTCTATTGTTTTTAACTAAGAAAGAACAACAGTGAAACCTAAACAAAGAAGCAGTAAAAGCAGGTACATAAAAAATCTGATGAGACTTCGAAGGAGCTGGTCTTGAGACAGTAGGAACAAAGAAATATGGAGGAAAGATAAATCTATCAGGATCCAGGCAGAGTTAAACTTGTGGCTCTGACTGTATGGTAATGAGCCTGTTTGCATGACCCTTGAGTCACAGTTGGTGCAAAAATAAAAGGGGGTACATCTTTCCAAAAAGGAGCAGTAAGGAAGCTATTTCTAAGAAGTATTGGGGAGAAGACTGCGACCACCAGTCTGCTGTTAATAAACAGCATGTTTCCTGTTCCTTGTGGACCTGTTATGATGCCTTCCAAAAACGCTACATGCAAATTTTACCTCCCAAACCACATTATATAATAAAGTACTATTATTTGAGGGGAAAAAAAGGGGACTTTATCCAATGGCAAACATAGAATGCAGTGTACCGAGTAGTGTATAATGAAAAAGAGGTGAATACCACCAAGAGGGAGGATGCTCCTTTCCCCCTCTGCCAAGGGCCTTCAGTCCTCCCAGTTAGTTGCGAGTCTTGGAACAATGTTCCAGGCAGGTGCATGCAGGGCTGCACATTCTCTGCTGGCCACTACTCAAAGGCCCTGAAACAGTGAGCCTGTGGATACAGCGGGTATGTTAAACAGGGTTGCCTAATTTTAGAAATTCTAGGAACTCCTAGCAATGGAGCCGCAGCACTGGTTCACATCCTTATGTATGTGGAAAACAAATATCAAGGTAACGTTCTTTACTGTAACCAAACTACACGCAGCAGATAAGGAATGAAGACAAACCTAGATCATTAAAAACGGGGCACTGTCCGTTTGAAACTGCACCTCTAGCTGAAACGTGTTTAATTTCACAGCACGTTAGAACCACAACTCGCTAGCCTCCCATTTCGTATACCTAAAACAAACGAAACAAAGCAGTCCTGGCTAAATCCTGGGTCTGAGTCCATTAGACACCCAAGAACAACCCATGTCACCAGCAGCTGTAGACCTTTCTCAAGTGTTCCAGGAGACCTGGCCTCTGGTCCCGCCTCAGACCAGTCAGTCCTCTTTCCACCTTGTGCTGAGTGCTCACAGATCATCATTACAGCCCATGTTTTACAAATGAGGTCAGTGGCAGAGACATTTATTCAAGTCTGCACAGCTAGCAGGGAGGGAATGGCAGGACCCAGAGCCACAGCTCTAAGACCAAATTAGTTGATTCCGTTAGTGCGTAGCCCACAAAGAGCAACTGGGCAGCTCTACCTCTTCAACAGAATTTCATCATGAGAAGAATTAAGATAAAAACTGTAGATATTCTCTCCCAACACAATGCTGACTTATGCCCAGTGATTTCCTGCTACTGGGAAACTGAGTGGCATCCATCGACTTTGCCACATGGACTGAACAGTTTTAGTGCCTTCTTGAGGGGCTATAAGAGATGTGAAGGAAAAAGACACTTACCATGATTCCAGTAAGCAAACAGACGCCTTTCCCACAGTACGTGTTGGGTACCATGTCCCCATAACCAATGGAGAGAAAGGTTATTGATATCAACCACATTGCTCCAAGGAAGTTGCTGGTAACATCCTGCTGGTCATGGTACCTGAAAAACACCAAACAAAGGTAGTCCTTACAATTAATCGCCAGTATTATAGCTAAGGGTGGTTTGGTTCAACTCATGGTAGTCACTGTGCCTTCTATAAACTGCTCTATTTAGAAGTTTTCAAAGCTTGAGATTATACATGAAATTGAGCTTCCATCTAAGCAATCTAAGAGACATCAGGAAGTGCCTCAACTCTAAAATAATCTAAAAGAGAAGCTGTGAAATTTTCATGAAGACTGACTTTCATCTTGCTGGTTTAAGATGGTCCCCACACAGTCATCCTTGTAGACTCCTCTGGTCCCTGCGGGCGCCTCCTCACTTCCTGATGCCCAGCTGATATACCAGACTTATGACATGATACACAGTTGCCCCATCTTACCCCACACCTCTGTAGCAGAAGGAATTGCACTGTTCCCACTGCTTGGACTCAGCTTTGTTACCTTTATTTCCCTAATATGGGCTAACTCCTCATCCTTCAAAATAAATTCAAGTGGGAGCCTCTCCTGTTGACTCTTCTCCCCAGCACTGCCCCTGTGCATCCCTCCATCACAGGATGATACTGGTATGGTCCATCTACCAGGAGGTCCCTCACTAACCCTCCTCTTTGAAGACAGAACCTCAGAGACCACAGAGCCCCTTCCTGGAGCCAGCATGTAACAGAAGTTGTTGTCTTACCAGATGTACACCAGAAAAACTCAATAGTCAAAAAGAGAAAAAGGGATACCACTTATTATGATTATCGTTTCAGGTGTCATGTTTTACTGGTGAGGAAGAAGGTTTTTATAATAGAAAGAGATTCCTATTCCATTTTACTTGAATGGACATTACTAAGCAGTAACTCTGTACGTATGGTGTGGACACCAGTTTCCACCACTTACCCTGACAACAGCAAGGCCATGAGAGTTGTCACCCTAGAAGAATTTGCTCTGGACACATCAGTGTAGTGACAAGGTGGAGTGGCCCTCCCCAGCCTGATGGCAGTCAGACCACAGACTCTGTTCTCTAGAGGACCTTCCTCGCTTTCTTGCTTTTCAACCAACTTTTTGTAAGGACCTTCCTTCCTTCCCATCTTTCAGACACTGAGGAGAGGGCTTTCCCTTTCCTCATCTCTTGCCTTAAAAAGCAGGCTATTCCTGTTGTGCTAAGGGTGAGGTGGCAAGGAGGCTGCTACTGGCTGGAGCCCCAGGATAAATATAAAATATAAAATATAAAATATAAAATATAAAATACAACCTACACTGGGCCATCACATTCTCTCTCTTTTTTTCCTATCCCTCATGCAATGCCAAACATCATGCTTCTAAAACCAAAAGTCCAAAGACCCACGAGTATAAGAGTATAAGCTGTCCCCCACGGTGTCAGTAGATCTTACACTCGATCTTTGGACACACACACAACCCCTCCCCCCATGCCCATCACTTTTGTATCTTCTTTGTCTCCTTCCAAAGAAGTAAGATACAAGCCCTGATATTTTAGGGTAGTAAAATAGAAGGTCCTAGCTGGAGGGAGGCCAATCACTGGCTCTCCTGGAATCAAAGACACATGAACAGGAAGTCGGCCTTGTTCCAAAGCATCTTGCAAGTTGCTGGTGGCAGGACAGAAACCTCCACTGTTCCACATCCAGGAAGAGCCACCATGACCTTGCTTTGGAGCACCCCCCACCCCAGAATATCTTGGTGGAGAGGCTGACATCGCCAAAGGGAGGTCGAATGTATTCCTAACATTCTAGGAAGACGGGCGAGTGCACTTCCCCTGAGAAACTAACTCTGCTACATCATACGTAATGGGCTGCTGTGACCGGTGCTATGCCGACATGCAGAGTGAGCTAAGCAGGCCTCTGTGGACCGCTGGGGGAGCCTGCTATGCCCATGCAACAGAGCTGCAATGGGAAAATGTGGCTTTCATTTCAAAACCCAATGCTCAGACATAAGCTTTGGATTATAACCCATTCATGACACAGGTGCTCTCTACTAAGTATTCTTTACCAAACAGTTGCTTAAAACAGAAAATACATTACCCCAGCAGGAGTATGGGCTGTACAGGAGAGGGGAGGCAAAGAGTGCATTTCCTGTTCAATTGTAAGTTGTGAGATAAAGTTTCTAAACAAAGCATGACTTATACACAGACGATACCCTCGAGCGTATCAAATTCCCTGACAAGTGTCTGTACATATCCTATTTACTGAGCACTCAGTATGTGCTCAGCATCCAACTTGCATCTTCTCATTTAACATTTAATATTTTAATGCACAGGCAATTTTTGGCTGAAACAGTTTTATTCCTCACCCTTTCTATGTCTTTAGGCACTTAGTTTGGAGACACTGAGAAAATGTGCCTGCGTCTCAGTGACAGCTGCATTTCAAGCCATTTGTGCACTGCCACTGCAAGTGACCAGGACACCGTTATCTGCTAGGCCCATTGGTTTTCATAAGAGCCAAGTTTGGGATTTCATCCTATAAACAGAGATCTCTGGGGCACCTTCACAGCTGGTGGTTGCGAGGAAATCTCAATTTTGACGTAGGTGTGAAACTCTTTCTAGTCTGTTCTTCCTTAGCACTTGTTTTTTTCTTGGTATAACAATTTATTTTCCTCCGGGAAAATACCCAGTAGAGAGATTACAGGATCAAACAGTATAGCTACTCTTAGCTTTTTGAGAAATCTTTATTCTATTGATCTCCATAGAGGTTGTACTAATTTACATGCCTACCAACAGTAAGTCTTTCCTTTTTACCACATCCACACCAATATCTATTGGCTTTTAAATTCTTTTATTAAGTGTTTCATAGCACTTTAGATAGTTTTCCAAGTTTGGACAGTAAATGACGGGAAGTTGCAATGGAAACATCCATGGGAAAATGTGTGTAAGCTAACGCCTCCTTCATTGCTTATCTTTAACATATGAATCTCAAATACACAAATTTCTATCATCCTCATTTGACAATCTGCCAAGCCCTCTCTGGCACTATGTCACGATATCATTCAGTCACTATTTGTTATATGCTGTGTCTTATACACTGCATCAGAGACTAGAATTCTATATTGGAGGGCCCTGGTTAGGAACAGATATCCTTCTAGGAGTCGCTATTTTAGGGTTTGGGATTCAACCATGAATTATCTTTTTTGCTTGAAAAATAGCTTAGAAGGGAAAAATAACATTGCATCCTAGTGTGTATATTCAGACACGCTTAGTTGTGAATAGTCAAGATGAGGTAATTAAGGACCAATTTAGATGCTATTGGAATAATCACCTAATTTCTTTCTTAGCAACTCAGGAACAAATATTAGACTTATCAACAGGATGACATTACTTAGAGAACCCCTAGGTTTTTAATCTATGCCAGATCGCACACTTGTGAATGATTACTATGTACCATTGAAGGTTTAAGAAACTTTAAAACATTCCTTATGGTAAACAGTCATGTCACAGACGAACACAAACTCTGCAGCCTTCTCCACAAGGAGAAGAAGTATTCGGAGAAAAACAGAAGTGACATGTGGGGCAAATTTTAAGTTTTGATCAATATGAATTACTGGTTTAATAAGAAATACATTAAATAAGATTAAAATTAGTGCAAGGAATGCCCGATCATCTCAAGCTTTTAAAATAAGGACTTGGAGGTTTTGCAGAGGACCGCTTGAATTGTATTACAGCTCTACAAGTGGAAGAGACTTAAAAGATCATGAGCTTTAAGGTTTTAAAAGCAGCGAAATGTTCCTTTTCTTAGTTTCCATATCTTATTCCTTTCTTCATTCATGGCTGAGTGTGAGTCTAGCGCCATTTCTTAGATCACAGATATGACAGCTTTCTACATTTGTGCAAGTTCACAGGCGTTACCTTTCCCAGGGAATCACTGCTGCCTTCCCCGTGAGCCAGGCCGCCTCTGCCCAGCCCTCCTGCCTGCCACGGCAGCTCTCACACTCGTGGCTGGCAGTTAGGCTGTTCTCACAGCTCTCCTTCTCTGCAAATGCAACTGCCTTCTGCCTGGAAACCACCTCCCATCTTGAAAGCCCTGAGTTGTGCTTTCAGAATCTGTTTGTGAGTCCCCTTAGCAGACTGTATGTAGCTTTTGGTCAACATGATACACCAGGTTGCTCCTTTCTCTGTATCCCAGGAGCATCCTCTTGTAGCTATCTCTAGCATTCAATGACTGTTAACTTGGGTCATAGGACATGCATCGTATAATTTCCTTATCAAAATGCCCTTAGAATTGAAATTATGAAGACCCTGAAGACACAGATTGTGCCCTATTCACTGTTGCACAGTCACCAGTGCGTAGGAAAATATGGAAGGGAACTGGTGTTTACTGAATTAATTAGTATGACAATGGGAAACATGTCCTTGACTTGCCTTAGGCCACACGCTAGGCCTTCAGGATCACAGACAAAGGGATACAAAAAGGGGACACAAGTTATTCTTGCTCATCAGTCAACATGGATCGGATGTGCCATTGTTCTAAAATCTCTACACAAGCTATGAAGGTATTTTGTACCTGTGACTACTAATTTAATCACCGTGAACAGCTGGCAAAGTATGTCCATTAATCCCTCTCTATTAAACCCACCTTTAATACTAGAAATTGCAGCAATATCTCAACAGTCAGCCCTGGTCTCAAATGTCAGCCCTAGTTATACAATGAAAAATATTATGGAGATTTGAACGCATGCGATCAATCTACCATCAGTTCTTTCTCCACAATCTACCCACCCCTTGCTCCTGAAATACCACTAAAATGACAATAAGACAATAAAAAAGGCATAAAGAACAAAGGGAAAGGAAAGCAGACACCAGAGAACACAGAACAACACGTTCTTATATGAATCAAAGCAAATCTTGTTCTCAGCCAGGATGGAGCAACAGGGAACTAGGTTTCTACTTTCCCCTGAAACAACTGGAAAAAAAAAACAGATTAAAATATCTGAAACAATGGTTATCAAGACATTGGTCCTATAGCATCAAAAGCCAGTGATTGTGCATGGTGATCCTGAGAGAGGGAAAACAAC